GAAGTACAAGTCCATGTGGTCCATTATTAAGGCGAACGTCGCCGCAGCAAAATTGCAGCTGACATCGTAATAAATGCTGCTCTCAATTTTAACATATACTGAGCAGTATTTAGCGGTTGTTAACAAGAGCAAAACTGAATTCATTTAGTGCTTTAACATACTGACTTAATTACACTTTAGGTGGAAACTTACATGCTGTAATTGATAGTGCACTTTAGTTAATTTTATTAGAGGGAAAAACGAAGTAATGATAATATATACTCTGCAACTTATTTCTTCTTGGTAAAGACGAGATCTTTTAAGTACAAAAACGAAGTACAAGCTTTTCGTTGAACAATTAAAGAACAATCAGGAATAAATTAATTGGGAGAAACAAACTACGAATGTAAAATTTTTAATAACTTGACAATATGCTGCTGCTTTTATTATGAGATTCACATTTTGATCGTATTTATGCAAAATCATAAATCTTTAATAAGCTCTTATAAATATCCTACTTAAATATTATCTCATAGCCGGGTATTAGCATGTTCATTAATGTGAAGAGCACTTCATAAATCTTAATAAGTCTATCTTTCTATAATATAAGTAACTATCGATTTTGCTAATTCCTTCTTATATGTAAGAAAAGTTTATAATGCTCAAGTTTAATCTTATTATAATGATAGAAAATGCTTTTTGCATGTAAACTTGCGATTTTTCATTACTATATTAATCTCTCTAAGTACTTTTGTTGCACTTTGTTTAAATAGTTTAATGGATTGTAGAATGTATAATGAAAATGCATATTATTATTTCACAGTAATGTTTTCTGTGCTGGATTATGAGAATCAACATGGTTTTCTAATATTTAGAATAATATTGTAATTATTTATATAAAAAAGTGGGTTTCTAAGAATTTATTATTGAGTTCAAAACTGCATTGAAATATTTTTTGTATAATTGAAAATGAACTATTGCAATAATAGATTTGAGAAATTGCTTTACATTTTCTATCTATCTATAATTGGGTTTAAAACTATACATGAATTAATTACACATAAATATATTTTCATACTATGAGATAAATTTTATCTCACAAATAGCAAATTCATTACTCATTTCCTGGGCTCTATTTTTTATGCAACAACATTTAAATGAAAAGAAGCATAAATAGTAATTTGTAAAGTAATTTAAGTATATAGTTTGCTAACTGCATATTTAGAATTATTTATGAATATTTTTTGCATAAACTTTTTAAAACAACAAATTCAGTTGATTGAATTTTAATGCAATGGTTAATGTTTTTATTAAACAGTAATGTTTTATATTTTGTAAGCAAAAACGTATAATATCACTAATTTTAATCAAATCTATATGTTTTCATTAAATGTATCTGAATATTATTTGTAATGTCAAGTTTGTGCGCTCTTTATGAAGTGAATGTCGTTATTTCAGTTACATGAATAAATTTATTCTTTATAAACTGTTGTAATAAGCATGATTAATCAACAATTATAGCAAGAACATATGTACAAATTTATATTGGAAATATCCAACAAAAATAATTTTTATTTATTATTCGCCAATTTAAAAAAAAATCTAATGTTATTACCAGTGATATGTTCGGAGGCCCTGTTATATTCCTGGAATGAAATGAAATCATATCACTAAGCACAAATATATTAGATATTCAAAAATAAACGTGTGTAATTAATTTTTATAAACAAAAAGGTAAAATTTTTTGAATTTAAACTACTTTTTCATTAGCGGCCATTTTAAACGAGAGTAAAGCAACTGACGTCTAATGTGCTATTATTTTGTTGGTAGCGCTGACAATCAGAACCATATGAAGTTGTAGTTATTGGCCTCCGAGTTGTCAATGTCAGACTACTGTCAAATTATAGTACTTACAAATGTATTTATTATATTAACTAAAAATATAATTTAGGGCAATTGTTTGCTACATCAGCTTAATGTAGTATTTTAAGTAATTCTAATTTGATAATTCAGTAACTTAATAATTAAGGATAAGAATCACATGTGATATTAAATCAGTGGTACAGTCAGAAATTTTGCATTGATTTTATTTAGTTTTGATATAAAGAATTTGGATTAAAAACCAATGCCGCACTTGGCATTTGTGATAAATAATTACAAGACGAATTTATTTTTAAATAAATTAATATTTTAAGGTAAGTCATTTACATTATTTCTTTCATTTATCATATTTATATAGATGCACTTAAAATTTGTGCTTTGTTATTTTAAAGTGTAATGTTTAAGTAGATATTTGATTTAAGTTTAGTATCATTTTTATATAAATTTATATCTATAATATGTAAATATCATCATTTTCATAGAAGGTCCCTCATTCACCTTATGTTTCTTTGTGACTCATGTCCACTTCATGTTAGAATCATTTCATTCTGTATATAAAAGTATATAATTTGAATTAATAGTTTATATATGGTTATGTACATAAGATTGTCATTTATTTCTATCTTGTCTCATTTGACTTCTTTTAAAAATTATAGAAAATGATAGGAATACATAAGAAAGAGTTAAACTTTTGTGATGAATTATTGCTCATCGTGAACATTTAAATATGAATTTCAAGTTACTGGGCTACCTTATAATATTGTGTATTTCTAATACATTTCTGCAGAATTTTAGGCACATTCACAATATAGTGATTCATGATCACTAAAGTATACAAATATAATATTGAAATATAACCCGATGACTTTCAATTACAATCAACACACAGACTTTATTAGAAAAAAATCTAATGAAAGGACGTGCAATAAATATAAAACCTTAATAAAGGAATAATGTACAAAAATATAAGTAATTCCTATATAAGATTTCAGTACCATTACTGATTCCTTTATACATTTTGAAAAATTCTAAGATATCACATATCTTTCGATTATATGTGTTGGAAAATACTGAAAAATTAAATACATTATCTAGCATAAATGAATTCTGAAAATAATACACTTGGATATTTATTGATTTCGATACACTATATAATAAAATCTTTGATGCTATACTCGAAGCGATATTGTTTAACGATTAAATAGATTTTGTTATTGACCAGATAATTTACAACTGTCCTTAATGAACATCTATCAAATATAACAAAGAAAATATACTATGTATATAAATGAAAATGAATAGAAATTACCAGTATTACTTGAACTTCAAATAAATTAATTAAGTAAGAGTAAGAATAAATTTCTATATGAAAAATAGAAAATAGGTTTAAGATTAATTTCTATTCGTAGCAGAATTTTCGTGGATGTCTTCTTTAAGTCGTTTTAGATGGTATTTTTACAGCTGTTAAGGACTTTTAGCAAATTTGATAATTTACAATTGTTTGTTGGACGAAAGTCATTGTTTTAAATTAATGCCATGTTGAAAAATCAACTCAACAGTTAATTTTCCATTTGATAGATATAAAAACACGATAATCTATTGATTGTAATATAAAATTATAAGGTATTCTTTCAATTAACGAAATAAAGATTGATTAAGAAAATTGTTCCAATAAAATATAAATGTTGGCTTAGATCGAGTGGTGATTTTCTATTGTAGACTTCTGTTAATAGAGAATTGGATGACTGCTAGGAAATTTTGATGACTGTTAAGTTTGTCTCTGATTTTTTGTTGATTTGATAGATAAATTACAATATGATTACATTACAAAACTGATCTTTTGGGCTTAGATCGAGTATTGGCTAGGATTTTTTTTTTAGATAATTAACAGAAAGGTATTTGGAATGGGAAGTCAGTCTTTCTAATGTTAACCTTGTTTTATAATCTTGCATATTGACCTTCTGGTAGGTTTATCATTGAAGAAAGTACTTGACTTTTATTATAAGCTGGTGATCCACGTATCTAGATTTGAAATCATTTTTTTACCAAAACATAGCATTCTTAATCAAATAGTCTATAGATGCATGCGTCAACAGATAAGGTCGAATGATAAGATGCGCGTCGATGTCTCTCTGTACACATCGTGACATTCTTAAAGTAGTGTGTAGTTTGTTCTCATTTATTATAAAAAAAATTAAAAAATCAGTTGTTTATAGTTGTGAAACGGTTTATTAAAGGTTCAGTGTGATTTTCGCTAAGTTCTAAGTGGAATCCTAAATGGAATAATAGTAAAAACCAAATCTAATCAGGATAAAGGCACAACCTTAAATAAATATAAACATTGAGCACTAATGTTTGATTTAGCTTATTTTGTTTTTATATCATATAATATAAATTAATTTTTCAATAATTGGTAAACATTGTATTGTGATTTTTACTTAAAATTAGTTTCAAGTGGCAATTTGAATAAAAATATAGCAGAATCCTAAATCTAATCAGAATAAAATCGCAACGTTAAATAAACGTAAACATTTAATTTTAAAGTTTCTAAAGTTTTATAAATCGAACAGACCAATTTATTAAATATTACTGAATATAATTAAGATAATTTATACTGTATTGTATAAAGTAGTTCAAAGTCTTTTTAACCTATAAATATAAATATACAATGTTTAGAATAACGATATGATTGAACACAATTAATTATTATCAATTCATTGTAATTCATAATAACCGATTGATGGGTTTATTATACTATATTAATTGCAATTAATTACAATGAATTTGCATTATTAATTTATGGGATTTTCAATAAATCTTTTAAAGTTCATTACTTTACGAATTTGTTAGTAGCAAGTCATACTTCTTTGTTATCCCATTTTAAATAAGAATTAAATTTGTATATATCAAACTGAATGCATATAATAGTCATTTATTAGTGCAACAATGTAGCTATTTATTTCGTAAACAAGATTAAAATATTAATAAATATAATTCTTCTGTAAATATGAGTTAAAGTCTTCGTGCAACGTTCTACGATGTGCTCGCCATGAAAAAAATATATATGTTAATTTGATTTCACATTTCAATACAGTTTTACTGACAAAGTATTTACCTTTCTTAACACAGTTATTTTCCGTAATATATCTATAGTGTTATACAAATATATAGAAAAAATCTCTAGGGTTGTTTGGACTAAAGATATTTAAAACATGAGTGATCAGTATAGTTATAGTGTTGATGTGAAGAGTTCGGGAGTTGTTATATTAAAATTATTAACTCGTTCTGTGATCAGTTAATTAATTTGGCAATTTATTATTAAGTGGCAGTGTAAATATTTTGTAGTTTCAATAAAAATGTTTTCCGGATGTAAAAATCACAGGATTCGCGAAGAAAGGACACCTCTTGTTTTAGGATCAAGAAGAGGTTATGGATCTGTTGCGCACTACTATAATTTCTTGAGATTGTCATCACAAAGATTTTCCCTCATGAATTCTTCCGCAGTGGTAAATAAATTATTAAATAATAATAAATTGTTCGAGACATTAAATAGTGTAAAAATTCACTTGAAAATATTCCTTAATAGTAGTAACTGATTTTTGAGCAAACCATTATAGAAGGCGTGATTTAACAAATATGGTGAAGAAATTCTGATCCACGAATATAAAACGTACATTATGATATTAGGTTGTCAAATATCTCCCTTCCGCTTTTCTGCTCTTGGTTTAAAATACAAAAAGGCGGAAGGGAGATATTTGACAACCTTATATAATTGATTGAATATAATTTACATTCGTGCTTATATCGAAAACTATATTTCATCTGATAATTTTCTATATAGATATTGAAAAGAACAAGATTTTTTAAATTGATACCAGTAGTATTCTAATATTTGCAAAATTCATGAGATATTAGGATAAGGAAGGTTTATGTTTGGCAAACAATTATGGATCTTGTTGCTATCTGCATATCGGTATTATAAGCTTGTTCAAATCGACAAAAATTGTAAAAAACAATCATCTCAAAAAATTTTGTTGTATATTAGTTTGAGGCAATAAAAAAGTTTCAGAACGATGATTGTACAACATTTTATTTATACTAAAAAGCATGTGGTTTTTTTGGTTCATTGCTTGTAAGGAAGGAAAATCAATGAAGAATACTTTTTATACATTGTACAGTTTTTCAATATTGATAGACAAGTACAAATTTAATCGCTGAAATATTTGCATATCATATTAATTGTATGGGGCTCTCCGTGGCACAGGGGTTAAAGCTTTGGTCTTGCGACCACAAAATATCAGGTTCGATATCCAACTCGGACAGTGATATCAACAAGTAGTGATATATGTTTTCACTTGAAACTATAGATCTCAAAAATGTTTTCAAATGAAAATAATTTTATTGTATCACTGACATTGCTGCATAAAATTCAAAATATATCATTAATATTAGTGAAATAGAGGGGGAAGATTCAACACAACACCTCGTGGAACTGTTGAAGAAATCAGTAATTAATTAGATTGTGGTATTACAAAAAGAATCAAGTAGTTATCTATTCTAGTTGTGACATATTTGACTAGCATTTTGCTTCTTATTCTTTTTGCAACAATCCAACTTTTTCCAAGGGCAATTTCCACTTGATATCATATTTTGGATATATAGTCTCAAGTAAAATTCTGATTAATATCAAACTGATCGAAGTGGTTTTCCAACCTGAGACCAGTTGTTGCTGACCCACAGTTTTACCACAGAGGCATACTTCTTCAGAAATGTCGATAAATCATTGGCATTATTGGCATTCATCTGAAATACGTTTTTTCTCCTAACATCAAAATTGTGAGTTTTCACGTACAAACTTCTAGTTTGTAAAATAAAAAAATAATGACGCAGGAGTACACATTAAATTGATACTGAACCAAGAGCCAGTGAACCTTTTAAATAAAGTTCCTGCAAAACTAAAAAAAAAAAAAATACTAGTGATTCTTAGCTTCATTTAGTCATTGGAAGTCCTATGTAAGTTCTTCTCCCAAGTCTGTAAATTTATCTAATCACTTTTATTGCATTAATCATACTCTTTTGTATAAAGATCAAGTGTAATGCAACATATAATACGTGCGATAATTTCTTATGTACATTGTTCATGTAGCATTTTAAATTTTCATAGATAATGCAACTCCTGGCACGTGGATATTTTGACATTTCGATAGGGCAATACCAACTACATTCTTGTCAGAAATGTTTATTTTCGACCATCAGTTTCGGTCTGCTTCTCTAATTGAGTTAACAACAAATTTTTCTGCAGTAGAATTATTTGTTTCTAAGTGTTGTGTGATGTTTATTTTGTGGTGATTGTTTAGTGCTCCGGCCATGTCTCTGTACACAAGACTATGGAATCGTTGCGAATTTATCTCGGTAAATATTTCGGACAATATTTGCACTGTTTTCGTCTATGTGAAACAAAAATGTTTGCCTTGGAGCTTCTTTTATGTGTTACTAATGGATTTAGATAATCCCTTCGTATTTGTTTTGGCTTGGTGTATCATTAATTGAATATATTTTGAACAAGAAGTAGCATTTGCAGAAGCGAGGAATTATATTTATTTATTTACATATTTTTTTTGTTATACTTTTAATTGCAATTTGTCATCCTAGAACATTCAGTAATTGTTTTTTATGTTATAATATGGCTTCTTGAATGGATGGCAACCCAGTAGTTGACCAATTCATTTGTATGTATTAGTATAGTATTAACTATACTCGAAGTATTTATTAACATTTTACTTATTTTTTGAATATTTCATTTTTATATTTCATAATTGGTATATAACAAAAATTGGCAAATATTGTCATTTGCATAAAATTCTTATAAATCATAAATCAAGAGCGAGAGTTGTGTGATTATTGCATATGTTATTGGTTTATTAATTACAAAGCATATTATTGTAACAGAGATAATTTTTTTTTTGATTACTTTAGGTTTAACTGAAATTCTAATTTTAATTTAAAAAATCGCAACATCGAGTATTGAAGAATTATATAAATTGAAATATCTAATAAAAAAAATTCTTAAGATTTTAAGGATTTGAAAAGAAACATTTGGAGAGTATTGGTCGTGGAACTGTTTATGGTTATTAAAATTAAAATTTGCAATAGTTTCCGTAGTAAATTTTTACTCAAATAATAACTTAATTTATTAAATAAATTAATATTTTAATGTGTTCTTGACAATATCATGATATAATGATTTATATAGTTTTATACAGTATAGTAATTTTCATGTAAGTCCTCGGTAATCGTATAAAAAACTGAATTATTTAATAATTTATTCACATTAATGCACATGTGCAAAAAATAAAATCCATCATTTTTACCGTGTGGTTATATGCTAAATTTATGCAATTAGTTGTCGATAATAATGGTTGTTAATATATGAAAAAAGTTGTATTTTATTGTACACCGGTTCACAAGATATTCGAAACTTCTTAAATTGCTCCAGGAGCATTAGATTCGTAATATTTAATTAACAAAATATATGTTAAATAAAAACCAAATTAATTAATAAACTTTATATAAACAAATATTATGCTATAAATATTTAAAAAAATTTATTATTTAACCAATATTTAATTAGATATCTATTATAAAATAATGGTAAATTAAACGCAAAAAACATGGGAAATATAGGGGACTAAAAAGTTCTATCTACCGAATAACATAATTGTAAGAAATTGCTTAAAATGCATTCCAGGATGAATTTGAAACGTTGAATTTATTTTTTTTAAATTTATTTCTTCTACAGCTGAAATTAAATTTATAGCTAATTTTATTAGATTCTTTGATATAAACAAGTAACTCTTGTGTACCTTAGCAATTATTTTCGTTGGCGGAATCTAATCAGAAAATTAAAGTGACCCTGATTATTTGGTTGGCTAATATGGGCAGTGTAATCATAAAATGTAAATATGCTCAGTAAACTCACAGGTGAATTATTACTGAAAAACATATTGTTTTTAGAGTCGTTTAGGCTATTCAAATATTCGCAAAAGGTAAACTTGAAATGCATCTTTGGAAATGTAAATCTTTGGGTACATTATAATGGAAAATGCGGAAGGATGAATCAGTAATTCGATTTACTGTAAATATTTGTCAAGGATAATAAATTCTTGGTCGTATAATTAAAAAATAAAAAGAAGACTATGGTGTAATCTGGTAAAACGAATACAGAATTTGGATAATTTGAACAAAAATAAAATGATTTTTTTTCAAGATGCTAAGGATTTCAACAGAAACAATACGAGGGTATTAAAATAAAAAAAAACAGTGATAATACTAAAATGAAAATTTAGAAATAAAACTTTGATTTTGAAAATTAAGAGTAGACTGTCATGCAAGAAAAATAAGGATCAGGGATTTTAAAATAAATTTTGCTGTTGTTCCATTCATATATTTTTTTTATCAAGAAGAAATGATAGCCCGAAAACATATCGTGGATATCAATTTAATGGAAAACTTAAAACTAAAATAAAATTGAAACTTGAGACGTAACTATTAGTTGCATTTTTCAACCAACTTTTAGTATTTCTGTGATTATTGAATCGGGTACTAAACAATTTAAAAAGAAATCCAATATAATTATCATTCAAAATAATTTTATATGAAATTATTTTGAATAAAATAAAAATAAAAATGTGATATTTATTAAAATATTTCATTATTTAATTAAAATATAGTTAAGCTTTTATGAGCATTAAAGCTAGAGAGCCAGGAGATACATAAACCAGAGATTATTTCCAATTGTTAATATAAAAGACTATATATATTATAGCTATTATAATTGTTACTATGATGAATCAAATAAAAAAAATTTAAAAATTCTTTTTATATTTTAATTATATGTATGATCTGTATCAATAACTATAGATCAACTGTATAAATATTAATTACTCTTCAAATTTAACTTAATCCTGTTATCACGAGATAAAATCTATATTCTTACTGTTGACAAACAGTTTGAGAATTACTTACATAATTAGTAACTTATAAAAACCCCAAGCAACTCCGATACGATTTTTAATAGTTCGTGACTCTTGCACTAGTTAAGACGTGAAGATGTGACAAATCTTAGAAAATTTGGTTAACAATTTTATATCAGAAATAAATTAAATTGAATTTTTTAATTTTAATTATTAATTTTATTAAGTGACAATGTTTAAAGCAATGCGAAGACACCACAATCAGCATGAGCTACAGGTGAACCACAGTAGAGTAGTTTTGACTAATTTGCACTAGGTTGAAAACATTTTTTTTAAAATTTTTTAAAATTAATTAATAAACACATCACTAGTAGAACTGTTCACAACAAATATTTTATATATTACATCAGATTCGAGTAAACTTTAAATTATCTTCACTGGATTGTGTGCCTTAGAGTCTTGTTTCCAGTATTTGTTAAACTGTAATATGGAAAGTACAAAGGGCGATCACCATATCTCTCTGAGTAAGATCT